TGAAAAGCGCTGTGGAGCCCGGGGTCGCCAAAGTGGGCCTCCCCTGTACACAGGGGAGAGTGCACCTAAGCTTCCCACATTGCACACTATATAAATATGTACTGGTGCCATGTTTAAAATGTTAATACAATTCCAGTGGTTTCATCTCCACCCATGGTTGGGGGCAGACACAGATTCCAGTCTCCAACGCCGCCGAGGCCTCCTTGGTGCAGATGCTGTTGGCATGCTCCGCACAGGTAGACAGGGTGGACTGGGACGACTTGGAGTGCGAAGAGGACCAACGACTTCTGGCCCCAGCAAAGGCATGCGAAGCCAGTTTTCCCGACCATAAAATCATGTACATGATACCGACCCTCCAAGCAAGCCTCACTTCGTTCGGTTGCGATGCCTTGCGTCTCACACCACTTTGTCGGGACCCGAGAAAGGCGTGCTCGATGAATCTCAGCGGCTCAGGTGGATGGAGCCAATCTGCAGCTCACCCAGCTTGCAACTCTACGAGGCTGCGCAGGGATGCCCAGAACACAAGCCAGGGAGCTCGCTGTGCCTCTTCGTATCACCACGGGAAGGATCACAGTGGCAATCATTCGACCACTCTAATGTCTTATTCTAGGAGCAGCACATCACAGCTTTTACATGCAAAATTAGTTCATCATCATACATACCCCCTGCTTACCTGCTAGCCTCTCGTCAACCACTCCTATCTCAAGTTAGAGTCTAGGTTGCACCCTTTTTCGCCCGGAGTTTTTATGTTGACTCTTGGAGGCCAGCAGATGAGCGACAAGTGCGCGCTGTTCCCAACCTACAATAGCTGGGCCATTTTGTTGGTCCAATTCCCTGTGCAAGAGCAAAGAATATACCGCATCCATGCCAAGGCTTCCGCACTGCACGTGCTGCTGATGTACAAGGCCAACCCCGAGGCCGCGCTAGATCATCTTGGAACTCCAAAAGAAAGAACTTCCACAGCGCACCAAACCTTGCAAGCCACGTAGTCAGTGCATTAACATGCATTAACCTGGTTTGCACCATGGGTGCATTCCATGCTGCATTCCATGGTCCAAAGCCTGGGAGGTCGTGGATGAACAGGGTCAGTCCTTGCTTCACCTGGCGGCGAGCAAAGGCACATGGATCATATGGGTCTTGGAGAGTTCGGGCACTCGTGTCCTTTTGCACCCCAGACCCCAGATGTAGAGTTCCAAGGCATTTCAGGATGGAGTGAGTTGCATAATTGTGGATATCGGTCGTTCTCCGTTGTCAGCAATGACAGCCATCACTAGGGGATACAGGATAACGGTACTCATGCATATCAAACTGTCAAGGTGTTTAATGTGTTTTGAGTTTGCTATATTTATCCGCTAGAGAATTGTACTTGGGTATAGTGTTGTATTGTTTTTGTATAATGTAGAGGGATTGGCAGGTAAGATAATACGGTAAGGCTTGGAAACAGTAGTTTTGTGCGCCAATGCCAATGACTTTCCGTTTTAGTGTTGCGTTGCTTTAGTACTGTTTTGCTGGCTGTATGTTTCTTGTATTGTATTTTCTTGAGTTTCGGTTTGGTTTTGTTTCACAACCTGGCTGTTCTGTTCATTCATGTTTTGGGACGCTTCTCCCTTGTTTGTGGCTGTGATGTAGCTGTGTGACCTCTCTTTCTATGTTGCTGCCGGTTGCAGACACGGATGCTGTTGGTTCCACTTCTTCTTGCAACCCTGAAGCGCACAAGGTCAGCTCAGGCTGCATTTGACTTGGTCGGTGTTGTAGATGCAATGAATGGATGCGCTACCTGCAGGCCACTTGCCCGTGCTCAAGCTTTTGCTGAAGCCTTTAACGCCGTTACCAAAGGTCCCACAGGACTGTGACCAAGCAGCCAAGCAGAATCTCAGTTTCGTGTTGGTTCTGTACTTATGTTGGTTCCAATCGGTCAACAATGGCCATTGCGTAGGCGCAGCTATGGCATGCCGTGGCCACTTTCATAGCATTGGTTGCCAGTTTGTCAACCAAAAACGCTTCCCTCGTATGGTTCGCTTCTGAAAGTCGAATTCGAGCCAGCATGAAACAACCTGAGATGTTCGACGTTGTCCTTCTTCTTGCGTGTAGAATTGTCGTTGATTTTTGTTGCCAAGAATATTATGTTTGTTGCAGGAACAGTTGCTGGAGACGCGGCTGAAGAAGGTGACTGGAGATCGGCTGCAGGTAGCGAAGCTCAGCTTGCTTTCTCGAGCTTTTCCTCATGCCTCTTGATGAATCTGCGAATCTTGGAAATGGTTTGTGTTTACATTTAGAATCTCGATGGCATGTGTCATTGTTGTTTATTGGCATATGAGTTGTGCATGGTCTTGCTGTCTCAACGGCAAGACTGAAGAGGCTGGCTCAAACAAGTGCTGATCATCAATTCCAGCCAATGGTGCGGCCTATGATTCGTATCGTGACATCATTGGACGCAAACCGGATGGCCAAAATGGATAAATCGTCTTTAGATCCAAGTGACTCTCATGTTAAAGTTGCACGAAAGCTTTCCAGAATTTTCAGCACCGTATGCCCCGCTTACTTTTAGCTGTGATTGACCGTCATCGGACGTCAAAAATGGATCCTGCTGACCTTCAAAAGCTGCAGCACTTTGACAGCGTGCTGCAGGGCCTGCAAAGTGGTCAGTGCAGTGTGCAGGATGCAGAAGCGACTTTGGCCGACTTCCAAGCGCTCTTGGAAGAAGCTGCCTGTTTTTGAAAACATCGACCTGGACCGAACCTTTTGAACACGTTAGCACCAGGAAAGCTCACAATACTCTCGCCTGATGACACGGCCTTGCAGGGTGACACCTGTTTGCACACATGTCCTGAACCGCACGCGGAACCCGGCAAAGCCTTTGGAGGGGGCGGGTGCAACAAGACGGGCCGTTTCGAGAGCCGAGTCGTACTGAGGTTCGCCATGCTCCAAGAGCTCACTGGGAAGACTTCCAAAAGCGCCTGGAGACTCATCGACAAGCGCTGGAAGGGTGCCGAAGTAGTGGCCTACGAGAGGATCTCCTGGGTGGAGCCCGGAAACGTGGCCGGGTATCCTAGTATCAGCAAGAGCTTCAGTTGTTTTGAAGGCAAATTGTTCAACACTGGATATCACGGTGCGATCAGTTGTTGGATGTTTTTATCAGATACTTGCTCGTCCTTGTTTCCCTTCTCGAAAAGCAAGTTGACTCTGATGTTGAGCTATGATTGATTGCAAGGATTGCAGCATATTATAAATCTTCAAATTGCGTCACAACCAGCTTCTTGCTGTGGAAGGTGCTCTTTACAGCCCATATTGCAGCAACGTGTGTTTCTGTAAGCATGTGCAAACAGGCCACACACAGTCTACTGTACTTCAACTTCGCTTTCCTCCTCATCACCTCATCCTTTGGTGTGATAGATAATGGTATACTGTAGATAAATATGGGTAACACAATTTTTACATCAGGGTGGATGTATATACTACAGTGTCCCTTCTCGCTGTCCTTCATGTTTCGAATGTTGCGTTTATTCAAAAACTGCCCTAAGGGCAGCCGATGAGAAAGACAAGAGTCGAACCCATTGAACCATGCAAGCGCTTGATTCACAAATTGAGGCAAGGAGCTGAAGATGAAGACACAAGAGGAAGCCGAACACAACGAGGTGTTGGAATTGAAGAACGCTCGAGATCAGATGCGCAACCAGCTGGATCGCCTCTTGGAACGAACTGACGAAAATGATGCCACACAAAACTTGTTTTTGGGAACCTTTGCGCAGATCTTTCGCAGCAAAACAAAAGTGTTTTGCTCAATTCTGCGAGTGAAGGAGGCACAAACATCCCTAAGCCATCGGTTGCAAAGGTTTTGCTGCATGTTTTCTTGCCCACTGCCTTTTTGAGGTATGCATTACGTCAATGAAAACCTTCAGGACTCCGCTCGGAGAACCAGTGCTGTTGGCACTGCAAGCAAGCACCAACTATTGGCCTTCAGCACCACGTGCAAGTAAAATTCAATTCTCATGTCTCATACCTCCCACAAACTTCGGCATGTTGTAGGGGCGGCCCTTGCGTTGTGGCTGACCCCATGACTGTTGTTTGCCCTGGCACAGGATTCTAGCCGCACAATTGGGAAGACGAAGGATGCCATGCAGGAATACGATAGCAAACTGGCGAGCGCAGCCAAGGCACTAGGCCAATTGAAAAGACACTTGTATATTGGAATTGGGAACGGGGCTTGGGCTTGGGTGTTGGGGTTGCACACTATACAAGCCATGGAAATCCATGGAAGCATTCCTAAAGAGCACAAAACAGTTCAGTGTGCTGATGCTTGTCAAATACTGGTACAGTACGTGTGGAACGGGAACAGCTAGATTGTCCTGCTTATTTTTCGACCATATCGATTAGTATTGATTTGCATAATGCCGGTGAGGCAAGGCTTGATTCTTTCTAAAGACGTTTCAAATATCTCAAGGGGCTTCCCGTACCAACAAGATTGACTAGGCTCAAAGGCCTATAATAGTGATGTTGAAGAACAATCACAAAACATCACAGAAAAATGCAACGCTTTTGAACATTTTGCGCAGACTTGTTGAACATGCGAGGAAAGACCGAAGAGGATTCCAGATACATTTGGTGGTCTTTCTACTTCTTCATAGGGGTGGTTGCCTACATTGCTGCTTTGTCAAACGTGGCCAGAATGTTTGGATTTGTTGTTTTTGTATGATAAAGTTGCCGGCATCGCCTCAACAATCATTGCAATCATTAACAATCCTGTTGTCAGGGTGATGGCAGTTGAGGTCTTGCGACGGCTTAAAGTCTTCAAGATGATCTACTATGGCTTTCCGGCAGAAAGTTTGACCTTACGCTTTCCGTTTTTGACCTTGAAGACCAGCTCATTTGTTGCGCCAAACCTCTTCCCCTAACAAGAGAGAGAGAGAGAGAGACCACGCGCCAAGGTATCTCCTTTGGGATGTGGTCGACCGGCAGCGTGCTCGAAGCTGTGCAGTCCACCTCCAACGCTCTGTTTGGCGAGCCTCAGCCCGCTGAAACAGAGCGGTGAGAGCAAAAGAAAGCCGTGCACCAGCGTGGGCCCACTTGGTCAGACATATCAGCATTATCAGCAATCTCCGTGTGAGAAATCGAAGGGTGATTATGCAGGAACTGAACAGGGGCACAAGACCCATCATCTCATTTCCCGAGTGTACCGGATTTCATGTTTGCACTTTCCACTGCGGCCTCCTCGGATGGTTTCATACATTTAGCCTCTGATTTTGGGGATTCATGACTTGCGGCCCTTTTATCACTTTGTGTTGAATAGCAGATCCAGACGTGTAGAAAATCTATCAAAACAGCTCCTTCGTAGCTTGGCAGTGGGTGGCGTGTCTCGCGGCCTCAAGGCATTGGCTGTATCAGATGTCGCTTCCGTGGCAGAGTCTGTCGCGGGAACTCAGTCTCCTTGAGAACTTCGCTTGTAAGCGTCATACTTATGGGTCGCTATAGATGCTATAGGTCATTATAGGCGACCCCAATGGGAAAAGCAATCACGAGTGTAATTCCTAATTTGTGCTCCCTTGACTGCAAGGAGGGGGGGTTCCACAGGAACCATGTCCTCACAAGTCTCACCAGCCTGTGGAAGGCGCCACACATGAGGTTGCTTCGGACCAGTCTGGGAGCTCAAACAATGACAGGCTTCGATTGCTGGGGTGTTGCTTCAGTACATCTACACTGATTCAGAAGAACTGACTTTGGCTTGAGATGATCATGATATCCCAAGATGGGATCCAATTGCTATGGGGAATCGATAAACTCATATTACTGTAGATCATATTAGTAATACAATTATATATGTCATATAGATTTATAGGAAGGATGGCATGAATGACGGCACGGGAATGATTCGAAGGCATGTGTTTATCTACTTCCGTTCATTCACATTTTGTGTTTTCCCTCAGATCGCAGGCCTGCTTCTCCAAGCAAGATCTCATCCCCGACGTGGGGCGCTTGGTTTTTCTACCTCCACGATTGTAAGGGGGGATTTCGGGGGTCCGCTGGGGAGTTGCAGGTTTTTTCAACTCTATCAGTGCTGTATGTTGGATGTGTTGCTTGCAACTTTGGGAAAGGGCCATCTCATCTCAGCGCTGGATCTCAACTTCAAGATAGCATTCAAGCAAAGATTGCAAAACCAAGGAAGACTGATGGACATGTTGTAGAGATGCGTAGTCATGTACCACTACACACTTTGGTTTGAGTCTCGACTGTCATTGGCCGTTGCGAGATAATCAGATATGCCCACAGGAAAGCTTGGAAGGAACAGCAGTTGAAATTTCGTACCACGATTTTTTATAAGACCATCCGGAACAAACCACAACTACACCACTACCATCACGTACCACTACCACTACTATCCGACTGTCGAGGCGAATTATACTTAATCAAATTACTGTATACATTAGGACGCCTACTCCTACTACCCACTCCCACTGCCACACACTACTACAACAATCACCATTGCTACAACTGCTACCTAAACCTCCATCCAGTTTGACGCTAGCTTCTCATGCAACAGTGCGTCGTCTGCTGCGAGCACCTAAAGGATTTAGCACATGCGACGACGTGAGTGTCCCCGTCGTCCATTCAGCGATGTAACGCACCGCCTGTCGCCCGTGGTCGCCCCTGGCTTCGTCCCATGTGGTGCCAACTGGCGGCTGATGTGACCCGTGCGACGGGCGTGACCCGACTGCTACGGTTGGGTCAGACACGAGGCAATGTGACTGCAAAGATTACACGGCGTAGGAAGGAGTTCGAAGCGAAGACCTACCCAAGGAGAGGTGTCATGAAATGAGCAATCACTACGGAGGATTCTTCCAAGCCATGCTAGCAAGCCAACTAATATCACAGAGGACTTGCTTCCAGGCAAATGCAGGCAAACATTTTTGTAGCTATGCCGTTCGTCAGGAGCTCTACAAACGAGCCAGACCAACTGCCTCGACGAGGACGCCGTGGTGGTGAGATGCAAGATCCACAGAGGGGCGTGGCGAAACGGGATGGCACCAATGTTGCACAGAGGAAGTGGTTTGAAGATCGGAAAGCGCCAATCGACAAGGACTTTGTGGCCAAGCTACAAGACTCGGCGAGCCACAAAGGAGCTGCTGCGATGCAGGAAGTCTTTGATCAGCACTTGGCAGCAGTGGACGCCCTGAAAGTGTCGATGCCCGCAGCCGACGAGTTTCGACTTCCGCACATCCGGCGCCTCGCGGCCACCCCCAAGCGAAATCCAGTCCACGAGGCAGCTGTTTCAGCTCCTCCCACGCATGTGCCGCAACAAGAAACGCCTGAGTTCGTCCAGAGCGCGCTGGTCAATCGCCGCAGGCGTGGGCGTTTCATGGGCCACCGGACCAGACCAAGTGCCCCGTCTCATCGACCCATGTCACTCGGAGGCCGTGCAGCATGGCTCAAAGAATCGCGCGACTGGGAGGACTCAAAAGTCGGTGCTTAGCTCACGGGTTGAAGAATGTTGATCGTGAAATCGTTTTTTTTCCTTTTAGCCCACTCCTAGTTGAGTAAGGGAGTAGTTCGCTCCTAGCTACTTAAGCGTCTATAGTAATAGCTCACACATGCTCACACTAATGATTTGGTTCCTAGATTGTTAGGTTAGGGAAACTTACGAGGCCCGATATAATTCTAATACAGTTCTACTTAATAATTAATAATTACTACTTAGTTTGAGTGAGCATTCTAACGTCCAGAGCGTGCTGCAGCATAGAAAGGCATCCTTTTACCATTTATGCACGGAACTTGCGGATATCATCGGGTGAGGAAGGTGGGGAGACCTAGTAAACCCTCTGTGCAGGATGAAGAGGAGGATCTTGAGGACCAACCCCCTCTAAGCAACGGACCCTGGGAGATCGGTGGGAAGGAACCGCGTGGAAAGATCGCTGGCACAGAGAAACACCTTGAGGACGAGGCAGCGAGTGACTCGGAAAGGTCGGATGCTGATGAAGCCATCATGGAACCCATGGAGCCATTGCGTACATCGGAGCTGTCCGAATTGTGGAGCTCCTTGGGGGCCTCCTTCGTGGAACACAACCGTTGTGTTGTACCAAGCAACTTTACTCATCCGGATGAATTGGCCGGTGCCACCTTGGATGCGTATTATCACACCAGGGCATCAGCATCACTATTTGATTTGTCCTTTAAGGTGTGTTTACAGATCTCCGGTGCAGATCGGGAGTTCGCAGCAGACCAGTTCTTAACCTGCAATCTTCGAGCGATGCGGAGCGGTGATGTTCAATACGCGTGCATTTTGGATAGCAAAGGGCTTATCCTTGATGATGCCTTTGTTCTTCTTGAAGATGACGCGGTGACGATCCTCACTTCTGGATGCCGTTCAAAGCAATTGGCGGACTACATCGGACAGTATGTCGTTTATATCAGACGCTCTGGTGCTGATGTGTCATTTAGGATCTCTGACGTCAGTGTTTTGGGACTTCAGGGCCCAGAGTCTCGCAAAGCCTTGGTAAGCACACTTGTCAACACCTTGCCGGACATGCAGCTGATCACCTTGTCGGAAGAAATACCCTTGGCCCCGAGCTTGTTGCACCAAATGCCCTACATGAGCGCCTTGGCTTCGAGGGATTTGAAGGAAAAGGTGGTAATCCTTTGCGCGGGAATGACGGGCGAGGATGGCTTTGAGATCATGGGTTCTTCCGGTCTTTTGACCAAGCTGGCTGGAGCCCTTCTCTCCTCTGAGCTGGTGAGACCTGCTGGGCTTTTTTGCTTAGACATGCTGCGGATGGAGGCTGGGCTACCACGAGTAGGGGCGGACATCAATGTGGGAATGTCTACACCCGTCAGGTGCGCCTTGTCTTGGACACTGGACCAATCCAAGATGCGCAACTTGGAGTGAGATCTTTGACACCTTTCAGGGTTCCTGCAATTCCTGCCTCGAATTGTCGATAATTGTGGGTAATGAGTGGTGGTAGGGTCGACACAATGAAGCATGTTTGACAAGCCCTTACTGCTGGGTTGCCTGGAGGGCTTGACGGTTGGCATGTGTTCAGTGTCGGCCAAGGCAGTCACCTAATGTTTGGATGGTACAAGAACTTCTTCCAGTTGGCCAAGGGCCCGATCAAACGTCGAGTCGGACTTTTGCTGGATGGCCCAGCGCACGCGGGCTGCCTGATCCTGTCCAACCCACATCGGCAAGTCGTTGGATGGATTACTTCCACGGCTTGGAGCCCTGCACTCGCCTGTCGGATTGCTCAGGCCTATGTGCGGCCAGAGTATGCAAAGACCAACAAACATGTGCTGGTCACTGTGCCGTACAGCTTGCCCACACACAAGATGACCAGGAAGGCAATCAGGAGGCCCTGAACTTATCTCACAAAAAGTATCAAAAAGGCATCATGATGTTTAAAGGGCTGATCAAGCTTGCGAAACAAACTAAGCAATTGAATCTGGCCATACTCGAGGTGGACTCATGCCGGTGCATTCCGCTCGAGCTATAGACGCTTGGTGGCCGCTTGCGTCGCCTCGTTGCCCTTTGTGCCCCACCGTTATCCTGAGCCACCGCATCAGCGTCGAGCGGCCGCACGGCTGAAGAGCTTCACAGACGCATCGGCTGCGGCCGTTTCGGGTCAAAGCCGAAGCCGACGACAACAGAGCGCTTCAACCGGTGAAGATCTACAAGAACCCTACGAACATGCCTCAAAGCCTTGGAAGAGTTAGCCTCGAAGCCTTGGAAGAGAAAAGATCGAAACGGCTGCGTGTGGGGCTGGGTTTCGGGTGCAATTTGGGACATTTTCTAGTGCTAAATCGGCCTCACGCCCCAGGCGCAGCGCCCCACAGCCACACCAAGCACCGTACGCCCAAATGTTTCACTACAACTGCAGGCCATCCTGCCCTAGACCTCTCCACCAGTCTCAGCTTTCAAGGAAGGGCCGGTCCTCAAGGAGGCTGAACAGTGGAGGGGAGAAGGCTGGAGCTCATTGAGCCGGCAGATTGACATCGCAGGGCAAATGTAGGACAATTCTGGGAAGATGTCCAGTGATTAGCAATCCT